AGCTTCTAAACTCTGATTAAAACTGTTTAACAAAAGAGCCATCATGGAATTTTTTGGTGTAATACTGCAGACTTATTCCTGTATCCCAGAAATGCGCTCTACAATGGTGATATTTGGTTTTGATCTGATTTAAGCATCTGGCCACTCAGTACTCATTCCACTGTGGATGCTGTGCACATCTGTGATACGGACACTGAACATTCAAACAGCCAACAAAAGAATGAAAAGCAAGCAAACGCACAGACCAGGAACAATGAGAACCTCATTTTGGCTTGTGATGAACAAAGGTTAGCCAAAAAGAAAAGATACATCGAACACTTGAACAGTCAAAACTTCAAAAGCTCTCGGGAAACGGTGGTTAAATTCATTTTTTTAGCAGAAAGTGAAGAGGAACTAGAGCACCTTGATGAGGGTAAAAGGAGAGTGAAAAAGCTGGCTTAAAACTCAACATTCAAAACAAAGATCATGACATCCAGTCCCATCACTCCACAGCAAACAGAAGGGGAAATTGGAAACAGTGACAGATTTTATTTTCCTGGGCTCCAAAATCAGTGCAGACAGTGACTGCAACCATGAAATTCAAAGACACTTGCTCCTTGAAAGAAAAGCTATGACAAACCTAGACAGTGTATTAAAAAACAGAGACATCACTTTGCCAACAAAGGTCCATCTAGTCAAAGCTATGGTTTTTCCAGTAGTCAGTATGGATCTGAGAGTTGGACCATAAAGAAGGCTGGGGTCCAAAGAACCAACGCTTTCAAATAGCATCACTAACTCAACGGACAAGAATCTGAGCAAATTCCAGGAGACCTCGAAGAACAGGGAAGCCTGGTGTGACATAGTTCATGGGGTCACAAAGAGTCAGATGCGACTGAACAACAAACTACCAGGCAATGCTGGTTCAATTCACATTTTTATAGTAATCATTTAAAATGTGGTGGTGTCCTTTTGTGAGAATTCTCAGAACCTTAAAGTTGATACTCTGCAATGCGTAACTATTAACCACTTCATGACTTCCATAGCCCAAGCCTTGAGACTCTTCAGAATCCCTTGGACTGCAAGCAGATCCAACCAGTCCATCCTAAAAGAAATCAGTCCTGAATGTTCATTGGGAAGAACTGATGTTGAAGCTGAAACGCCAATCCTTTGGCCACCTGATGCAAAGAGCTGACTCATTGGAAAAGACCCTGATGCTGGGAACGATTGAAGGCAGGAGGAGAAGGGGACGACAGAGGATGAAATGGTTGGATGGCATCACTGACTTGATGGACATGAGTTTGAGTAAACTCCAGGAGATGGTGATGGACAGGGAAGCCTGGCGTGCTACAGTCCATGGGGTCGCAAAGAGCCGGACATGACTGAGCAACTGAGCTGAGGTTGAACTAATGGCCCCGGCCTTGGCACCACCATGGTTTGTGCCTGACTCTCTGGGCCATTCATGAGACAGATGGGACCGCTTTCACACTCCTGAACTGGATCAAGACACACAAATGAGCCATGAGACACCAACAGGACAGCGAGGATAAAAGGAGGGTGAGCGTGGGCCCTGGAGACAGAGACAGACAGACAGCTGACGCAGCCCCTGCTGAGACTTTGCCAGGAGAGGAGCTATGATGTGATTTATAGTCACGGGAATCCCACTCATCTTGTGTGACTTTGGGTGATGTCAAGGAGTCCGAGATGGAGTCACAGTAGCCAATGTGAACCTGCATGAGGACTGTTTGGAAACATCCGCTGTTGGTAACATCTAGAAAGACACCGTGGGAGCAGAAGGGGTGACTGATAAAGAGGCGGTCTCAGATTATCACTGTTAAGACACCCACTGACGGACGCTTTAAAACACCGAGACAGGGGCTTGAAGGTTCTTTGTCAAAGGACCTGATGCTGCAAGATGAAGGAACTGTTTCTGATAGACAGATGCCACTGGAGGCGCTGTCAGAGCAGGTGGGGACTTCCAACTCACACCTGTCCTGAGGCCCAGCTGCAGGCAGGGGACCAACACTCATGCCGAGACGCCTCCTCCATCACCCCCTTTCCTTTCCTTCTCTGTGTGACTAACTTCTGTTGTGTAGTGTGTTCATATGCAATAAACCAAGCAATCAGCAAAATGAAATGTTGGCTACACTCCATATGTCTCCCAGGCTCTGACTCCTACCTGGTCTTATGCTGGGCCCTGCAACAAAACATTAAGTGTGCAACAGTTCTGACATGAAGACAAGGGGTTTAAGTAGAAATGGTGGAAATGGTAACAACAAGGAAGAAAAACAGCTGTACTGACTTGGAAAAATTGATGGAAATCAAGACTTCAATACACAGCAGTGCAAATCACAAAGGAAAATTTGCACACGGGTGTGAAGTAACAGCGAAAAAAGCACTGGGAATAAGAACAGGAAAATGTCTCAAAAATATATTTAGGTTCTTTCATGCCAATATCAAACAGGTTACCAAGAAATAAATTCAAGTGACAAAGATTAGAAGCCAAGAGATATATCCAACAGGATGAAGCCTTGTTATACCTACCAACTCAGGGGCTGTGGAACTTCAACTTTCTGCCCATCCACCTCCAGGTCCTCCAGTTCCTTGAAATACTTGTTCTTTAAGCAATGGAGAATCTCTTTTGCATGGCTATCAAAAAAATTTTTTAGAAGTTTCAAATCAATCTGGAAAGCTAATTCAATACATTTTATCTCTTTATAAACCTAAGATTGAGTTTTGTAACAAAAGCCATCCTTGTGTGCAGTGAAGACATTCTTTAATTACTACCATTTTACTGTATTCTTTTGAAGTCTGAACAATCCTTGTCCTTTAATCTCTAAAAGGTGAAAAACTAAATACAATACTATTCTACTCCTCTCCTAAACATTCCTCAAGTTCCATTTTCACGTGCAGATCATCTGCAAAAGGTACAACTGCAACCATATCCTTAAACTTACACACTAAAGGTTCATCAGGAAGAAACAACTTGATTAAATGACATCTCTAAGCTTGTTTCGAAGAAGACCAGGGAAACAGGATATGAACACAACAGTCCTAAAGGCCATTTTGCCCAGCAGAGGCACATTAAAGGACTAATACACCCACAGTAGGGATGTTCCCTGGCAGTCCAGTGGTTAAGACTCTTATTTTTTCCAATGCAGGGAGTGCAGGTTTGATCCCTGGTCTGGGAACTAAAATCCCACATGCCATGGGCCGAGGGCAAAATATCCATAATAAACTTTTTCAATAATTTAAATAACCCACAGTAAACTTTAGACATCACAAAGTGGAAAATCCACAACATGTAACAGACTTCCCACCCCAAAATTGCACATAAAAAGGTATGAAGCACAGCTGCACCTGCAGGGGATGCTTGAAATTTACCTTTAATTTTCACCCATCATTCCAGTGCCCCCTCCTCCACTTACTCCCTACTTCCGAGGATAAATATCATGCTCAACAGCTGATGGGGAAGAGCTGAGCACTGCCTCCTGTCTCCTTGCTTGACTATCCTGCAGTATAAAGCCTTTTCGCTTTCTACAAGACTGCTGCCTCGGTATTTGATCTTTCCATTGTGCAGCTAGCAATAAGCCCACGTGCTCAGTTACACAACTCAAAGAAAAAAAAAAATTAAGAGATAGAACACCATAAGCTTCACTTAAAACTAATGTCACAGGTTCTCATGTGTTCCAAAGGGTGGAGCATCGTCAACGGGCCCCCAAAGAGTCAACTGCTTCTCAGCTTGCAAGCTCGTTTCTGATTCTAACCTCCCAACTTGCCAGGTCCTCCTCCCCGTACTCCGTTGGGACACCCGTGCTCCCTCCTCTCAAGGCCTCCAGGCTCTCGCATCCACACCGCTGACGTGTGCTTCTTGGGAGAAATACATCTGCGTTTTAAACCTGGGGCATTCTAAACCCCAACTTTCCGAGAAACGTGAAAGGCACGACCCCCTTACCTCTTGTAACCGGTAATTCTTAAAGTGGCCGGGAGAGGCTCCCTGAGCGCTCCCATGAACTGGTCCCACTCGCCCTCGGGCACGATCTTGAGCTCCTGGTAGTAGTGCTCGAAGAGCTTGTTCTCCTTGACGATCTCGGGGTAGCCGCCTTCCCAGCCCTGAGAAGTATGAGAAACTTGGCACCCGGGGCCGCGAAGCCGCCCCCTCGCCGCCCCGCAGGCCTCGGGGCCCCGGCCCGCCCTCCCCCGGCTCCTACCGCCCCATTGCGCTTTCCGCCGTCCTCCGCGCTCCCAGGCCGCTGCTGCTGCTGCTGAAGCCGCCGGCCCCGCGACCGCCGCCCCATGGCCCACGCGGCCGCGCACGCCGCCCGCACAGCGCGACCCGCCACCGTCGGCCGCTAGCACTTCCGGGATGCAGCTCGAGGACCCCGCTGGTCCACGCATGAGCCTCCCCGGCACCCGCAGGGAGGGAGAGACCTGCAGTAGCGCAAGGATTTCTGCGCCGGCTCAGGCAGCGAGGCGGACAGCCCGAGGTCGCGCGTGCGCATCGCGGCGACGACGCTCGGTCGGGGAGGGCCCGGAGTGGGCGGGGGCCTGGTGGGCAGGGCTCTAGCCGCGTGGGCGGGGCGGGCGGGAGTCCCGCCCCGTCCTCGGCGCGCACCCAGCACTAGGTAGACTGTCAGGGAGTGCCCGGAATGGGCGGGGCCTAGAGGGCGGGGGCCTGGTGGGCGGGGCTCTAGGCGCGTGGGCAAGGCGGGTCTCCGGCGCCCTCTCAGGACTAGTGAGACGGTCGGGGAGGGCCTGGAGTGGGCGGGGCTCTGGCCGTGTGGGCGTGGCAAGCGGGCGCCCCACCCCGTCCTCGGCGCGCACCCAGGAATAAAGAGACGGGTGGCGCGTGGCTCCGGGGCCGCCCGCACAGGGCGGATCCGGGCCCAGGGCTTTGACAGCGGGCGCCGGCCTCAGGTAACCGCGCCTCCCGCCCCCCACAACACCCCGCCCGCAGCCGCCGCCGCCCTATATGTGGCCCGACGCAGCCGCCGGGCCATGGAGCACGCCTGCCATCCCCCACCATGGAGCTGGCCGAACGGTTCCTGCTGGACGCGCTCGCCTACCTGGAATGCGCCCTGGGCGTCGTGTGCTATATGCTGCTGAAGCTGCGGGGCTCGCCCTACGGGCGCTACTCGTCGCCCGGCTCCGCCTTCGGGCTGCCGGCACGGGCCGCATGGGTGGTGCAGGAGCTGCCCTCGCTGGCCCTGCCGCTCCTCGCCTGCGCGGGCGCGGGAGCGCCGGCCGAGCGCCTCAACCGCTGGCCCAACTGCATCCTCCTGGCCATGTTCCTGGTCCACTATGCGCAACGGTAAGAGCGGGCGGCTCCGCGCTTCCCCCCGCCGCCCCGCTGCGCCCCCTTCTCCCCGCCGCCCCGCTGCGCCCCCTTCTCCCCGCCGCCCCGGGTTGGTGCTCCCCCTTCTTCGCGCCGCCCCGGGCCGGCTCCCCGCACCTGTGCACCAGGGCCTGGCGCCTCTCCTTGCGCCCTTGCTCTCTCTCCCCCAGCGCCCTTTTCCTACTTTTCTAGTTCGTCGTGGACTCTTTGTTGAGGGTGGAGGATTGTCTCTCCCAATCAGATGATCACTTGCACCTTGGGGGACTGGTTTCCTACAACTACTGAATGGGTCACATTCAGGCACTTTCTCCACTACAGTATAGGCAGGTGCCCCCAGCACTGTGGAAGCAGCCTTCCAAGAAATAAGCAGTAAACACACCTAAGGTCTTTAAGCTGACTTCCAGATGTTTGGTTTTTGTGAAGAAGGCTCAATGGCTTGTCTGTACTCTTCAGGTCTGTAACAAGTTGGGACTCTCTCCAGGTCGTAGGTTTTGACTTTTGCACAGCTTAAGGGCTTCCCTGGGGGCTCATCTGGTAAAGAATCTGCCTGCATTGCAGGAGAGCTGGGTTCGATTCTTGAATGGGGAAGATCCCCTGGAGAAGGGAATGGCAACCTACTCCAGTATTGCCTGGAGAATCCACATGGACAGAGGAGCCTGGTGAGCTACAGTCCATAGGGTCGCAAAGTGTCGGACACAACTAAGCGACTAACACTTCCACACTTTTGCATAACTAAACCAAATGACTGCTCGAAAACTTAAAATCAAAATTTGAGAATTTGTATTCAGACTTCGAAAGGCTGCCCAGTTAAAAGGGGTGTTCTCTGCACGTCAGGGACCTGAGCTCAACTGCTTTGGGAACGTGGGCAGGTTACTTGACCTCTCTGGTTGTGGGTCCCACCTTAGGACACCCACTTCACAGAGCAGTAGAAGACGTCAGTGCGGATGTCTCTGAGACTCTCTTGAGCCCCTGGGCAGCTGCATCCCAGTCTGCTTTTAAGTTTTAAGTAGACACTGAAAATGGGCAGTCAGTGCTCCACGAAGTCTTTCTGAGTGCTCTGTACCTGACAGTCCTAGAGAATCCCAGTAAGCAAGCTCGCTAACAGACTCATCAGTGTGTTCCCAGTCACATCCGACTCTTGGCGACCCCATGGACTGTAGCCCGCCAGGCTCCTCTGACCATGAAATTCTCCAGGCAAGAATACTGCAGTGGGTAGCCATTCCCGTCTCCAGGGGATCTTCCCGACCCAGGGGCTGAACCCAGGTCTCCTGCACTGCGGGCAGATTCCTTACTTCTGAGCTGCCAGGGCAGCCCAAGTTTGCCATAAGTCCAAACCAAAACAGGGAGCCGAGCGATGACTTGCAGCACTTAAACCTGGCCAGTAATTTCGCTCATGGAGAGAGGAAACCTCACAGCGAGGCTGCCGCCCACAGTTGTTCATGTTACTGTACACGTCACCCGGGTGGTTTGGGGACATTTACGTTTTCCAAACTTTCCAACTTGAGTTGGAAAAAGTCCAGGAGACGATGAAGGACAGGGTTGCCTGGTGTTCTGCAGTCCATGGATTGCAAAGAGTCAGACTTGACTGAGCAACTGAACAACGACAAGTTTTCCAAACAGAAGAGATAAACATCTTCCATTCTACCCAAGCAGCTAATTTATTCAACGGTCATTTGACCTAAGTCAGTGAGCACTGTCAACTAAAAAAAGATATACAACTTGAGAGTTGCGAGTGAAGTTTTATTTGGGGCAAAATGAAGAAAGTAGCCCGGGAGGCAGCATCTCAGATAGCTCTGAGAGACTGCTCCAAAGCGGTAGTGGGGGGAAGTCAGGGTATAAGGTTTTGGTGAAGGGGGAGTTCAATGCCATGAAGCACTCGTTTTACAAAAGGTGTTTGTTAGTCATGAGGATCTGATGTCACCATGAAGGGATTTAATGCTTTCTCTAGTATGAGGAGATGCAAAGATTGCGATCATAAAATCTGTTCCTAAAAACATCCAACTATCTAAAGACCTGTCCCACCAGATTCTCTGGAGCACAGAGGGCCTCACTCCACCCTGAACTCCCTCACGGGTTGTTGAAGGTCAATAGCTATAGCAGCCTGGGGTTCAATTTCCCTGCAGGCAGATGGCAGTGATCTTGGTAAGTGCCAATTTGTAATTGACACGTCTCCCTTGTGGTCATAAATCTGGCTACATTTGGGGGGGGGGTGCATTTCATAACCATTTTGTCCTGCCTTGGTGGGAAGGCTCGTTCCCAGTTCTGAAGAAGGTTTTGCTGATAAGCCAAAACCAGTGTGCTATTACTGGACCAGGTCTTAATAGACAAAGATGTCGGGACACCTGTCTTCTAGTTATGGCCCAGGAAGGTATTCCCTCTCATTGCATGAAAATACCTAGAGTTACACTATTACAATCATTGATTGTATATCGAGCTATACGTTTGATCAACTGCTTCAAGTCTAGTCATCAATTTCATTGGAGGCTCAGTCATATACCTGGTAATACAAGAAATAATAATCTTGTGAAACAAGCAAAATGCAAATGGTATAGTTAATAACATTAGTGGAATTAAAAGTAAATAGTTTAGCCATGAGCCTCCCACAGCAAACCAGTTTTTTTTTTAAAAAGATCATCAAGACTAGGGAATGGGTCACTTAAAGCAGAAACCTGACTTTTCATATGGTTCACCAAATGTGTTATATTAGAGAACTCATCAGGTATAAAAACGTAGCATTCAGTTTGAATTATGGCATAGGGGCCTCCCTGAAATGTGGTAAGGATGTCAAGGGCCATGTGTTTGTGTAGCACTGCCTTTTTCATCATAGAGAGCTCAGAATTCAGTAGACTAATAGCCCGATTACTATCATTTAAAGCTTATGAAAGTTGTTAAGGCTTGCTACTGCTGCTACTGCTAAGTCACTTCAGTCGTGTCCAACTCTGTGCGACCCCGTCCCTGGGATTCTCCAGGCAAGAACACTGGAGTGGGTTGCCATTTACTTCTCCAATGCATAAAAGTGAAAAGTGGAAGTGAGGTCGCTCAGTCATGTCTGACTCTTTGTGATCCCATGGACTGCAGCCCACCAGGCTCTTCTGTCCATGTGATTTTCCAGGCAAGAGTACTGGAGTGGGATGCCATTGCCTTCTCCGTGTCAAGGCTTAGATATGGCCAATTACATCCTTTAACCTCATTGAAGGCACGTGTGCACAATTGCACACACACACACACACACACACACACACACCCCTAAATGGTCACACACACACACACACACACACACACACGCGCACACACACACACACACCCCTAAATGGTCATACCAGTAGAATACAGATCCTTGACCCAATGGGATCATACCAATGGTAGATTGGTTGGGGTTACCTCTAATTTGTTAAAGTGTATGACCTTAAAATCATGGGAATCCCAGGCTACACCTTCATATCGATCCCTGTAGATGTGATGGCCATAAATTAGTGCCACAAACCCTCTGAGTTCCATACCAATCACTCTCTCTAATGGTAATAATAGACATAGTTCGTAAAACACCCAGTCTTGTCTCATAATTACCAGGTTGGTCATTTTTAGTATGATTTAAGCCTTCCCAACATAGAGGAGCTTTTAAACTAAAATGACCATAGTCTGGTATTAGCCATGTAGATCGACCCCATAACTGTGAGAGTTTTCCTTTTAATAGATGAGAGGTTAATTTTTTATAGAGACTTAGCTTGTCACTCCAACTGAGTTTGAGTGACCATTAGAGAAAACTTAAGTGTATGGCCAGCATCAGAACAGATATTATTAATTGGCCAGGTGAGAGGATCCCATCTAGTAATATGAATAGACAAAAGAGGACTGAACATTCATCTGAAATAAATTTCCTAGCGGGTATCCAATCAGAGCCCTAGAGAGCAGAAATCCATCAAGGTAACCCAGAAGTACTAGACACAGGCCACAACCCAACAATTGGATTGAGTTTTAAACTAGCATTGACTCATGTCCGTGATAGAAAGTGTTTGATTGATAGGCATAGGTCCAAGGAATCAAGAAGATGTTATAAATGATCATACAAGTCAGATAAGCATCTTGGGCAAGCTGTCTACTTCTGATGTCCTCTTCTTCTCGTCCTAGTGGAGTGTAATTTCCTCTGTTTGAGCATTGTTTTAAGGTGAGTTTGAGGTCAGCAGGCGTCTCTGGTCAGCAGACCAGTCCAGCTTAGGGGCCTTTGGAAGTGGGAGTTAACCCAAGAGTCAATTTCCCTTCGGTTTCAATGGGCATGAGTTAGTTTAGAGTACCTGATAGAAAGGTTCTTCCATCCAGGTTGGAGAGAGTTCCTTAAACTATGTCTTCTTCCAGTCTTGGTTGCAGGTCTTGCGTGAGGCATCTGATCTTCATCCAAAGACAGATTACTGAGATAAGCTTCAGAAACTACCCTAGAGTGTCCTTTAGTAATTCAATTAAATTTTACATTAATATACCCTAACAGCAAAGAACTATCCAGGAAGTGAGTCTTAGCAGATACAGACCTCCATTAACAAGCTGGGATTTAACATTCATTGGAGCATCTACTTCTCCCTAAAATCACCATCATTTTTACCAAATATAACCAAATTAAGACCTGTTTGTAATAAAGGTCTGGTCTCGATAAACTTGGCCTGAGGACTTATATAACCATAATTGATCATAGACTTTTTTGCTTTGCTGAGACTTTTATAGAGTCTCAGACTGAACTTTTAAAATAAAACCTTTCAGGGCTAGGAAGAAGAAAAAAGAAGTTGCTCAGTCGTGTCCTACTCTCTGTGACCCCATGGACTGTAGCCTACAAGGTTCATCCATCCATGGGATTTTCCAGGCCAGAATACTGGAGTGGGGTGACATTTTCTTCTCCAGGAAATCTCCTCAACCCAGGGATTGAACCCGGGTCTCCCACATTGTAGGTAGATGCTTTGCCAAAGGCTTATCACAGATTTTGCCTAACA